TGAAGTCCTCCCAAACTTTGCCATTTTAAAGATAATGGGCCTAAACCTCAAAAATTCCCCCGCCAGGCTGGGGCGGCTAGGGAATTCTGGGAGCTGAAGTCCATTCATCTTAAAGTGGCCAAATTTGGACAACACTGATCTAGTGGGACCGAGGAGAAGGGCCTTCTCCGTGGTGGCTCCCTCCCTGGGGAACACCATCCCCGCAGAGATCAGACGGGGATCCTTGATGCTCTTCCGCAGGGCCCCGAAGACGTGGTTTTGCCAGCGGGCCTGGAGATCCCAGGGCAACCCGGAGCCCCTCAAATGGCTAGTGCAAATGTGTCATTGTCACCAGGGTGGTGGTGGGGTGTAGCGGGTTTCGTATTGGGGGGTTTATTCTCGTAAGCCGCGCGGAGTCACCGTGAGTGAGTTGGGCGGCCATAGAAATTGCTCAAATAAATAAATCATAATTCCAGGGTGGTTGAGTCCCCACAACATGCAAAGTCAAGGAAGCTAATCCCCAAACCACAGACAATCCACACACCCCCATCGCAATCGTGTGTTGTCTGAAGCCAGCCTGTGGCTCTATGTGTATTTTTTTGTTCAGATCAGAAACTGGAGCAAGATCCCAGCCCAGGGACCTCGTCCTCCTCCGCGTCACTGCCGTGTGCAATCCAGTCTGAGGTCCCTCAGGCAAACGGAGCAGGACCTGGTCACTTTGTTGTACAAGCTTCGCAAGCACAAGGTCGCCCTGGCCGCCGGATGGTTGCCCAGCAATCCGAGGTCTGGGCGGGGTATTCTCCCTAACGATCTGGTGATCTACACAATTCAGGATGAGACATAACTGATGCTCGGGAAAACAGATCCCCCACCCCGAAAGGATGCGACATAAGGAGAATAAAGTTTTCTGAGAGCGACTTCTACACAAGAGTCTTTGGCATAGCATGGCACAGCATGGCTGGGGTCGCACAACGCCGTCCACCTGGGTTAGCAAACATTATGACTCTACAGCAGTGTTTCTCAACCTTAGCAACTTTAAGATGTGTGGACTACAGCTCCCAGAATTTCCCAGCCAGTAATGAATTCTGGGAGTTGTAGTCCACACATCTTGGTTGAGAAATACTGCTCTACAGTGTTCATGCAATTTACTAGGCCCAAACCAAGTCTTGTCGAATGGAACAACTGGATTCACACAGCCTCCGAAGACAAGGCCTGGCTCCCACTACTCACTAACCTAGTCTTATAAGCTGCGTGAACCCAGCCTACAAATACCCAAGAACTTTCACAGCCAGAGAACTGGTAGAGTTCTGCATTTTGCCCTTTGGTCTAACCCGGGCTGTATTTCCACAACACATTTAACCTGACAGCTGAATTAACTCTTCAGTTTGCTCCATCCAGGGAAGCACAAACTCACCAAAGAGATTTGAGTTCACACAACATGCCAAGACATGCCCAAACAACACACCCAATTCTGTTTAAAACTGGCCACATTTATTTATTTATGCGTTCATTCATTCATTTATATATGACGTGTCACCGCCCATCTTGTTGAAACGACTCTGGGTGGTTTACAAGACAGTTAAAAATCAATTAAACTTAGCATATGCAATCATCTTAATAAATAGAAAATAAATAGATCCAAGGGTAGATATAAAATTGGCAGGCACTCAGGGAGCGAGTGTGTTATGTGAATGTAGCCACAAGAGCTTCAAGTATCTGAAGGGCATTATTTTGATACACAATTTTATATTCTATATATACACAATTTTATATTTT